TGGGCTTATTTGATTATTTCACAGAGATGATAAATAGCCGCAGAGACAGCAGGAAGCACATCTAACTAAATAAAGGAATGCGTGAGAGAGAGAATGCCTCCAGGCTCAGATGGTAGGCCAGATCCTAGGCTGTTGACTTACTAACAGGCTGTGGAGCCACCGCTGGAAGTTTGCATGTGCGAGTTGCGACACTGGGAATGGCACGCTGCCCCACAGCTGAAGCAACTTGTACCTACATTGGGTCAGTCCCATGTCATGGGGTCTGCCAAGTTGCTCAGGGTCTGCAGAGCCGGAGCAGGAGACGCCATGCGTGAGCTCCTGAGCTCTTCGGTGCTCTAAGTGAGTAAGTTCTGGTTGGTGGGCAGTGTCACACACTAAGCCTTCAAAATGCTTGGAGAGTGTTCCAAAGGAACCACTTGTAAGCACATTCTGCTCAAAAACCGAAAGATTGTTCCAGAAGATGGTTTCTTAAAGCCTTTGGAAATTTGGCAATGTTCCAGCTCCTGTGTCACAGACAAATAGTTGCTAGTGTAGAATCTTTAAAATAAGAATAGCATGCAGTCTATGACCATTCTACTCCGAACATGCCCCATCTCGTTAGATCTCAGAAACCAAGCAGGGTCGGGCCTGGTTAGCACTTAGATAGGAGACTGCCTGGGAATACCAAGTGCTAGCAGCTTAAAAACTAATAATAATAACATGCATTCAAGTGCCTGTACATTAGGCCTGGGGTATAGTACTTTAACCTACATTTTCTCATTCTTTTTATTTTATTTTATCTTTATTGCTGAAAGTATTACAGATGTCCCTGTTTTTCCCCATTTGATCCCCTCCACCCCACACCCCTCTCCCTTCTACCAGGCCTTCACCACATTATTGCCTGTGTTTATAAATTATACATATAATATATACATGTAAGTTCTTTGGTTAATCTCTTCCTGACCCCCTCCTTACACCCCCCCCAGCCCCCCCCACCCCCGTTCCATCTAAGAGTCTCATTTATTCTTTACAACAACTCTATAAGGTGCATGGTATTATTAGGTATGTTTTGCAGATGAGATGAGAACAGAAAACTGAGGCTAAGAAAGGCTAACTTGCCCAAGGTCACACAACACGGAAGTGGCTGAGCCATGGATTAAGATCTGGCCATCAGACCCTCTGCTCTGCCTCCTAGGCCAAAAAGCCACGGTTAGCACATCCAGCATTCACACTACCATAAAAGCAACACAAGATGTGAAATACCCAGGCATAAACATAACCAAAAAATGCATGGGATAACATAAAAAGAAATTGTTCAAATTTTAATTTAACTATTAAAGATTTAACTATTTTAAAATAGTTAAATAAATGGAGAGACATACTGTGCTCCTAAATGAAAGGATTTTCATTTTAAATCATTTTAAATTTTTATCATTTTAAAACCAACCCTGTCTCTTTTTATTTTATTTTATATATTTTATTGATTTTGTACAGAGAGAAAGGGAGAGAGATTGAGAGTTAGAAACATCGATGAGAGACATTGATCAGCTGCCTCTTGCACACCCCCTACTGGGAATATGCCAGCAACCAAGGTACATGCCCTTGACCGGAACCAAACCCGGGACCCTTCAGTCCCCAAGCCGACGCTCTATCCATTGAGCCAAATTGGTTTCGGCCCAACCCTGTCTCTTAAAGATCCCAATGAACATTTGATCTGGAAGAATCACTGTGTCTAAATAGTCAGGACAATTCTAAAAGAAGGAAAAAGTAATTGTGAGGTAGTAGGGAAGGGCCAGGATTTGCAGGGAATATGCTCCAATCATTACAACTATGTACACACAGAATCAAATGAGAATTATTAATGGAATAGAATTTAATAACAATAAAATAGCCTCAAGTATATGTAAACCTCTAATATATTATAAATGTCAAATATAAAAAAATATAGAAAAATTATAAACAAATATTATTATAATTTTAAGGTAGAGACTAGTTTCAAGGCATGACACAAAGTCAGAAACCATATCAGGAAATGATAGCCTTAACTACATTAAAAACTCAAATTTTCTGTACTTCAAAACCACCGTATATAAAATTAGAAGGGAAATGACAAACTGGAGAAAAGTGTTTGTTCATGATGAACAAAAAAAATTATTATTAATACACAAACTAATAAAAAAAAAAGATTGATCCATTTTCATTATGAGAAAAGTACCAATAAGCAATTCAGAAAAAGAAATTCAATTACCAATAGAGCTTTGAAAAATGTTTATTCTTTCTAGAAATAAATAATAATGAAAAAAGTAAAGGTAAATACTGTACTATTTCCACCCAAAACAGTAAAAATCCATTATTGGAGAGAATGTGGGGAAAAGCATATTTCCCTAAAGGAAAGCATTGAGAGAAGATAAATTATACAAAATTTCTAGGGAAGAGGGTAATTGGCAGCAGGCTAGTCAAGCTTCAAAATTAAAAATACTTTAAACTAGCAATTCTTCTTCTAGCTATTTATGCAAAGCTTAATAACTGGAAGTATGCAGCAATTTTATAATAGATAAAAACAAAAAATTGGAAATAGCCAAAATGTTTAACAATAAACTTATGTGTTAAAACAATATACTTGGGGGAGGGGGGGGGGGTCTAGTGATAATGGAATTCTCTATAAGACACTAAAAAGGTATTTTATATTTATTAGCAAGAAAAGATGCCTATATGTGAATCAGAGTGAATAAAGCAGATTACTACACACTATGCATAATATGATCCCATTTTTGTACAAAAGGGACATATATCATTATCACAGAAAAAAAGTTTGGGAGAGTAAATAGCAAAACGATAAGTGTTGTGAGCTTGTTAATATTTTTTTGCTTATTTGTATTTTCTATTTTTTCAACAATGAATATGGATTGGTGTTATATAATTAATATCACTTCTTTTTTTTCTTTTTTCTTTTCAAAAAATATATTTTATTGATTTCTTACAGAGAGGAAGGGAGAGAGGTAGAGAGCTAGAAACGTCGATGAGAGAGAAACATCGACCAGTTGCCTCTTGCACACCCCCTACCGGGGATGTGCCCGCAACCAAGGTACATGCCCTTGACCGGAATCGAACCAGTCCGGAGACGACGCTCTACCACTGAGCCAAACCGGTTTCGGCTAATATCACTTCTATTATAACTGCTGGACACGGATCAGGGTTGTGGACAAAAAAGACATTGTGCTCATTCCTAGCCAGCTTTGTCATACACTCAGCTTGGAGCAGCAGAAATGTTAAGGTAAACAAAAGGAAAACATGGAATTAAGAGACATGCTCTGTGGAGATGCACTCTGGATTTTAGAAATCTTATCTTGCTACCACCAATTTCCAAGAAATGAAACTTCTTGGCTCAGTTTAAAAGTTGCTCAGGGTGATTTAAGTGCAGTGCATTGTTACATCTACTCTCCAGATTTAAAAAAATAAAAAGCCCTGGCTGGTTTGGCTCAGTGACTAGAGCCTTGGCCCTCGGACTGAGGGGTCTCAGGTTTGATTCCTGGTCAAGGGCACGTATCTTGTTGCAGGTTCGATCCCCAGTGCCTGGTCAGGGTGAGGGAGACAGCAACTAAATGTCTCACATCGATGTCTCTCTCCTTCTCCTCCCTTCTTCCCTCCCTCCCACTCTCTCTCTAAAAATCAATGGGGGAAAAAATATCCTCGGGTGAATATTAGGGAAAAAGGGTCTTAATTTTCAACTAGGCTTCCATTTTAAATAAGTTTTGCTACAGAAGTTGTCCTTTTGACAACGTCTACCTTCCCCCTTCTTTCCCATTGATCATCCCTCCTTATCACAACCTCTTCCCCATCTTCACAACACAAACACACACACACAATGTTTCCCTCCTTTTTCATGGATCTGCCTGTCTATGACTATCAAGTTGCCTTAGAGTCCTTTTTGGAACACGGGGTGTTTCACTGAGCAGGAGAGCACCGAAGCAGGAGTCAGAAGAACAATCTACGGCAGACTATACACGCCTATAAACCAAGGAGACACCAGGTGGTGTTGATTAGTCTCATTCAGGCACTTCCTTGGAGACAGAGGTCGCTTCAAGTTCAGATGTACTAGGACCTGAGTGAAGGGACACCAAAGTAAAGAGAGACACAGAGGAGAGGGAGACTGGCCTGCCTTCCGGGATACCTGAATGGTGGCTTGGTCCTACTGGGGAAAAGCCACAGAGCCAGGTATGTGGCAAAGATAGCCACGTTAGAAACAAAGCACAAGTTAGCCAGACAGCATGGTCATGCCCAAATACGATGTCCATCATTAATGTCAACGCACCCCCCAGGATGCCTGATGATCAGATTCTAAAGGACACCGAGAGGGCACCTCCTGATATGAACAAAATGGGCTGGCGGGAGGGGGGCAGGTAGGGGAAAATCATGCCCTGGCCACAAACTCTTCAGGGAAAACAGCACATGGAATTTTTTTTAAAAGGGTGTGAGCGTGTATGTGTGTGTGTGTGTGGGGGGGGGGGGGCAATTGGCATTTCTTCATAGAGTAGGGGTGTCGAACTCAATCAGAGAAGGGGCCAAAATCTAAAATCCAGCCTAAATTGCGGGCCGAATGGTTTACTGAACAGTCATAAACTGTCATTGTGATGGAAACGCAGCGGAGTGCAGTGATGACAGCGCAGTGCGGGTCACATTGCAAGGCCTGGCGGGACGGATTTGGCCCGCGGGCCTTGTGTTTGACACATGTGTCAAAGAGAATGGGATTAGATTTAATTAAAAGGGGAACCCCCAACTCCATCTGGCTCTCTCCACGTCAGCACGAGGGAAGGATGTTAGAGCAACAGTTAGGGATTATTTCTTGGCCTTCATGGATCTTCTTCTCAGGAATAATTTTAAAAAAAAATACCCTAATTGACCTTTGTTTTAGAAATTGTAAACTGAACGCTGTTGGCTTGCTGACTGTGAGTCACCTCCATGGTGGAGTGACCAGGACTGGATAGCTTCTTGGAAACACTGATTGTTCTGTGTTTTTGCAGTGATAATGAATCCTAAAGCTGAATGGTGCTAATGTTCTCCAAGAGGAGCTGCCCGGGGTGAGCCTGCTGTGCCTGCCAACAGAGGATGAAGAGGATACAGATTTAATTAATTTCAAATCAACATAGACATAAGCACCCTCTGCTGCTTCTCCCGACGCCCACTCTTCCTAGGGATGGCATCACCTGTACTTGGAAGAATGTGCTATTGAGAAGCCCAAGGAAAAGGCCTGGCTGACACCCATCGCCAAGGGTGGAGGAGCCTTAAGATAACAGTCACCCCTCATCAGAGGGTGTTCCTCCCTCTCAGCCGACCTCTCATTGACTGCGGTCACTCTGGCCATGCTCTCTGCGTCCTTGGTACCTTTCTGCTTCATTCCTCAGGGTTTAAATCAGGCAGCTGTTTTGTCTGTTTCCTTCTGGGTCACACTGTTACCTAATTAGCCTTGGATAATTTCCTCTGATTAGTCAAGTGATAGGTCCACTGCACTCAGCAGGAAGGTTTCTCTAGGCGAGTGTCTCACGGAGAAGACAGCAAGCAAAGCAGGTGTTTTACTGTCTACAGTACACCATCCCAGGAGGTTGGTAAACTGGCTTCTCCCTGTCAGGAGGATGCAGTGAGAGTCCACAGTCCTGAGGAGATGTTGTTTGGTGACCAGTGGACCCACGTCATCCAGATCGAGTCACTTTTGGGGACTTGTCAGAAGCATGGGAATCTTGGATGAAAGAGCAAATGCTTTCTTTCTCAGCAAAAATCCCCTACTTGTTCACATGTCCTCAAAGCTGGTTGTTGTTCTCACTACAGCTCCCTTGCACGTAGTATATAGATAGGGGGAGTGGGGAGTGGGGGTGACCTGCCACCTTTGTATGTCTCTGAGATCTTTAAGGTCACTTGAAACAAGCCAAACGGGAATAGCAAATAAAATAGTGGCCCATGTCACTTGACTCACTCGGTGTTGAGACACGCTTCATCTCAGCTTTCCAGGAAGTCGCTATCAGCCCATCAGAGATGACATTCTGTGTGATTTCTACGTGGTATTTGTTGACATCCTCGCGCTAGAGGCAATGGCACAAAATGCAGAAGGGCCTGTTTATCACTCCCACTCACGTATTATCAATCTCCAGTTAATCCTTAATTTTCAAATTCTGACCTTTAAAGCAATCTAGCAAATGGAGAGTCAGTCCTCCGGTCATCTATGCCACCTGATACTTTATTCCAGGAAAGAAACAAAGAATAAAAGCTTTATTTATTTTACTGCTTCCCATATACACTGAGGGGAGATAAGGTTCATCAAACATCTGCTGCTGAATTTGGTGCCTCGTGCTTGAAAGGCTGCTTTAACACAGCCCCTCCTCCCTGTCAGAATCCCTTACCTCATATGTGCCTTCTGAACTATGCCCTTAACTTTGAAGGCAGGCTTCCAAATCAGGGAGGTCTTGCCCCACAGTGAATGATAGAACTGTCTGGCCGTGTTTAACCACCGCTATCTTGCTATCCTGGCACTACATAGAGCTTTGGCAAAAGACGGTCTTCGTGGTATCTAACTTCAACAGATTTATCAGTCATATTCTCTTTGGGACATCCTAATATGACATTTTTTGTTTGTTTCCACTGCTGTTTTATATATTCATGTTGAGCTTGTGGTCCACAACTTGTGACTGTCAGATAGTTATGCCAACATTGTCACTTTCTGAATCACCATTTCTGCCTGTTTTGGTTATTTTTTGTTTGTTTATCATCGATGTGTGACTCTCAGAAGAGTCTTAGTTCTTTCTCTAAGCAGCTAAGATTTTTGCTGAACACTTTGACCTGTACATTTCACCCAACCCAATCATATAATGGACTTTAGGAGTTTTGAGAAGTATAAGGGTCTTGGAATCTTACTTTGATAGAGATTCAATGAAGCAATATTTTATGATCTTTTAAAAATATTCTTATTCACTATTTAAAATAACTTCAAATTCTAGAAGAAGCCAACTTCAGCAACATGTCATTGAGTTTTAACTGAAAAATGTACTAACCTCTATAATTGCACAGCATAACTATATTTTTAAAAATGTAGTTAATTCTGCCAAGATATGTGAAATTAGTATGAGTCAAAACAGCCAAGGGTCAGTTTCAGCATCCTGGGTCTTTTTTTATTACTGTCCAATTAATAGGTATCATAGGTTTATGGTAATGTCAAGAAATTTTAAACCCAAATTTCATTTTATATTTCAGATTATTGTTTGTGAAAATCTAATCAATTTGCCCAAATTGAGTAGTGAACCAGAGCAAAATCTGACTAGAATATTTTAGAGATAGATATTTTATTGCATTTTTGTACATTTTAAGCACACTAGGTTAATTACATTGCCTCTCTGAACTCCTAAGGAAACTTGTGTTTTGTTGTTGCTTTTTAGGAAACTTGTTAGTTTTTTTTTAATCCTCACTCAAGGATATTTTTTCATTGATTTTTAGAGTGAGTGGAAGAGAGAGAAAGACAGAGAAACATTGATGTGAAAGAAATACATTGATTGGTTGCCTCCTGCACAAACCCCAACCAGAACCCGTAACTAATCGAACCTGGGACCCTTTAGTCCGCAGGTCGAAGCACCATCCACTTAGCCAAACTGGCCAGGGCAAGAAACTTGTTTTAATAAGTATGTGAAAGTGTTTACCGTTACCCAGTGATGTGACTTTTCTAAGAAGGTCATTGTCATACCAAACACGAGCACACAGCATTGGATCAACCTTGACATCCATGGAGTGACAGATACTTCCATTGACACCCTCACAGCTCTAGCAATGGAAATGGGTGCTTTAAGCAATACTTTTACCTACTCATTTATTTTGGTTGTTTAGACTATCAGTTTGTACCAGCTCTGAAAGAAGGCTCTTTGATGAGTAAACATAAAATGGAGACTCTGGTTTTAACTTCTGTCAGTATTAGTACAAATTATGAATGTAATAAAGTGATAAGGCATAGTTTTACACTGGGAAGACACTGCTATAATAAAATTCTCAGTGTGGTTAAAAAATTGGATTAAAAATGTTTTTTTAACTACACATAGCACTTTTTTTCACACTCAGAAGATACTCTGGGTGAATTCTGGGGTTTCCATTTAGTATCTATTGTAGACAGTCCAGAGTAGCTTTATCAGATATTACATTATTTGGATCTTATAATAACCAGAAAAGTCACTGTATATTAGTGAGCAATGGAACTAGTCAAATTGGTTATTAATAATGTCATAACCAAATGACTTATTATTATTATTTTGAGCAGTTCTTTGATTTTGCCTTTGTCTTATCTAGCACCAAAATTTTATTTTCCTCCTAGTCCTTTTAAAGATGGTTATTTGTAGATGCCTAGTGGGCTTTTTGTTTGTTTGTTTGTTTGTTTTTTGCCCTGTTACCTTTTATAAATAACATGCTCATGAGATACAATCCATATAATTATATAAAATAAAACATTTTTTACCAACTTTATAGATGCTTTCAGCTCTTTTAAAAATGATATTTTAAGAAGTTACATTCCTAAACCAACAAGCTTATAATAACATCAATACTTTAATTTCAGTTCTGTACAAGATTATAAATACAATGTTGAACTATTTACGATAACCCATGGTGAACGGGTTCTTTTTACAATTGAACTTCAGGTACAGAGGGACCCATTAATTACACCGCTGAGCTCACACCACATTATCATCATTGGCCTTTGGTGCTTTATAACTAACTGGACATTTCACAAAAAGCATTTTCCACTTCTTTTGTCAGCATGGATGGACTAAATGAATAATATATGGATACTACAAACTAAGTAATCAATGAGAGTAATCATGTATTATTCTAACTGAGGTGAAACGCTTGAAATTATAACTAATATCAGGAACATGGGAAATTTGTAATTTAATAAATGCCAGCTTTCAGAAAGAGCAGGGATTATAATTATTCAACAAGTTAAAAACAATCTGGCAAATCAGTAATAACTTAGTATGTGTACATCCTGCTTTTAAAGGCTGGTGTGATTCAGTGGTTGAGCATCAACCTATGAACCAGGAGGTCATGGTTCAATTCCAGGTTAGGGCATATGCCCGGGTTGCAGGCTCAGAAGGCAGCCATTCAATAATTCTCTCTCATCATTGATGTTTCTATCTCTCTCTCCCTCTCTCTTCCTCTCTGATATCAATAAAGATAAGTAAAGTTTAGAGAGAATAATATAAAAAACAAACCCCACTATATTATACTTCCTCATTTTACAAACTTGTAAAGTATTTCCTCAGGAGATCAGTAAGATCATCAAATGTTGTGTTTATCACTTGGCTTTTGTCCCAGCAACATATAAATTCTACTTTCAAGCCTCATCTAAGAAATGGTCCCATTGCTACGATTAGAACTGATTTGCAAAACTATCAAAATTTAAAGACTGATTGAGGCTTGAGGTTTTTTCCTCCTAGCTTGCATGCTGAGAATAATATGTATAACAATATTTTCCTCTATGACTTAGGGCTTTATTAATGTCAGGTATTCATATATAAATATACAGTATATCCTATGTAATAGTCCTATATAATAAAGAGGTAATATAAAATTGACCATCACTCCAACACACAAGTTGGCCACTCCCATGTGGATGCAAGATGGCCTGCAGTTGTGGGCGATCATGCCAGCAAGGGAGGGCAGTTGGGAGGGACCAGGCCTGCAAGGGAAAGCAGTGGGGGCAATCAGGCCTGCAGGGGAGAAGAGGGGAGGGCAGGCAGGGGTAACCAGGCTGGCAAGTGAGGGCAGTTAGGGGTGACCAGGCCAGCAATAGGGCAGTTGGGGGCAATTGGGCTGGGAGGGGAGCAGTTAAGCCTCCATCAGGCTGGCAAGGGAGTGGGTAGGGGGTGATCAGGCTGGCAGACAAAAGCAGTAAGGGGCAATCAGGTGAGATATTTGTTTACTAAAATGCTGATGACTGCCCAGCCAGTGTGACACAGCAGTTGAGCTTTGACCCAGGAACCAAGAGGTCACCTGTTTGATTCCTGGTCAGGGCACATGCCCTAGATGCTGGTTGTATCCTTCTAAAGGGAAATAATTTTAATGTAGTTCTATGACTATGAAAAGTAGGATTGTTGCCTTCATAATTGCACTCTTTGATTTATATATGTCTTTACATAAGCAAGAAATATCAATTCGAAAAGTTCTTATAGCCCTGGCTGTGTTTCTCAATGATTAGAGCAGTGGTTTGGAGCCCAGCAGGTCTGTGGGCCAGGAACCTTGGTTTTTATTACACAGGACTTCTTGGGCTTCTGTACAACACGGTAGCTAGGTTCCAAGAACAAGTATCCCAAGAGAACCAAGTGGAAGTACACGGCATTTTTATAAGCTAGACTCAGAAGTCATACTCTGTTGTTTAAAACAGTCACAAATCTCAAGGGAGAGAAGACATAAATCCCACCATTCAATGGAAGCGGTGTCAAGGTAACATTGTGAGAAGAGCAAATGGATAGGACATATGTTATAAGCATTTTGGAAAATATAATCTGATAAAGTGAGCATGAGCCCATGCAATGTGGAGGAAATATATTAGGCAATCTCACATCAAGTGTCCTTAGCAATATTTGACCTCCTCTGAGTCCAGTGCCTATGTGGCTATCTTGAGCCTGGACAAACATCTCTGGTCCAATAATTTTTGGTAGGTGGTAGAATTGGTTTCATCCACTACATGAGGCATGATTCATGGCACAGAACTGGTGTGGGTGGGTCAGACACATATAAATTTATGGATACTCAGTACATAAGGTTCTAATGGGACCTTATGCTCATCCTCACATAGAGTGTGAGCACCTTGAGAATAGAGATGAAAAAGACTTAAAGTCTCTGTATCCTGAACAGTGTTTGGCACTAGTAGATGCTCAGTAATCATAGAAAAACCAATCACCTGCTGAGTTAAGAGTCACTGCATCACTCTTACTCCAGTAACTAATTAGTCTTCATTGTCAGTGAGAGCAGGACCCAAATAGAGAACTGTTCATTTTCCACCATCATTTTCTCTCCACATTTTCCAGTTTAATTGTGTTTTCCTCACCTTACATCTAATGGATTCTGATATCATTTTTTTTTATCCTTGTTTGAAATTGTCCTATTGTATGTGCATTCTATTTTTAGCCACCTTGAATCAGTCTGGAAGGACACGGAGAACAATCATAATTGAACTAACAAGCACGTGGAGGTGGAGGAGATAAAGTGGTCCTGATTGGAGGGTGAAGGAACACCTGGGAAGGAGCTCAGCAGATCATTAAAACCTCTCAGCAACTCTTTCTTCCTTAGCTCTGGGCTCCTCTTCTTTGTTCTTTGGAGGGTCACAGAGAAAAGAAAAACAAGTTTTATCAATTAAAAGTATCAATAATCTATTCTGGGTGATGATACAAGCAAAAAGATACAAAATACTTCTTCTCTGGGCAGGAAATTTCTCCATCATTGTTACAAGTGGTGCTGCTGACTTTCTACCCCACGTGGCTGTGCCTCTCTGCTCATATCCCCCTTGTGCCATCCCTGAGGGCCTCCACCCTCCCTCTTTGCTCATACTGCACAGCCTTCTGCCTTCAGAAATAGATCTGGGAAGTTGCCAAAGGAATTAATGTCGAGATTTGTTTTCTGAGTGGGACCAGGAGAGCTTAGTGGGCTGGGAGGAGTGAGGGAGAACGTGGGAAGAAGGACTTAGGGAGTTCTCT